TTTGGAGTCTAAATTTTGAGTTTTCATGAAAATATTTAAAAAAACATCTACTGTCATGATTTTTTTTTTTTTTTTTGCATAGTAGCCAATTAAGAAGAAATTGGTACTTTAAGTATTTAACTACATACAAGAAATTTATGTCTGTATCATGTATGTGGTCTTTACAAGTTTAAAAGTATATGGGTGTGTCACTGTTTCCGACTTGCTTCTTATCTCTCACCTCTCTCATTTATTCCAACATTACTTCTCTCTCTGTTGCCGATTAGCTTCTTATCTCTCATTTCTTTCCTCTGCTTCAAGAACTTGACCTCACTAACAATATCAATGTTAGGCTAAATGTTGATATGTCAATGGTGTTTCCTAAGCTGCACAAAGTTAATACCTATAGTTGTATCCATACATATATGACTGACGCATAGCTTTTACATTTTTTAAAGAATTCTGAGTTTCTTGAAGATGTTATGATGTTGAACTGCTCACTATTAACTCATCACGACATTCTGTCATCCGTGAGAGACCAACTTTGAAGTCTCTATCAATTAGTCGTATGTCAATCAATAACAACATTAGCTCACACTTAATTGACTCTCTCGTGAGTTTGAAGGACGTAACTTGCCTTAATTTTTGATTTACACGTATTTCAGATGAATTGCTTTCCTCTATTGCAACCAGAGGTCTTCCCTTGAAAGAGCTTGTCCTCCAATGTTGTCGTGGATATAGTCATGTTGGAATCTTTGGTTTGTTGTCCAAATGTCAATGTATACAACATTTTAATTTTCAAAGTGATGATTTTTTAAATGATCAATATGTTATGAAGCTATCTTTGTTTTTGGGTCATTTAGTGTCTATAAACCTTAGCAATTGTAACATGATTGCAAAATCAAACTTGTTTTCACTTGTTTGGAACAATCCTTTACTCAATAAGATCAAAATGGAATACACAAGTATTAGGAGAGAGGATATAGTAAATATTAATTCTTTCAAAGATTTTATTGTAATCCCTCGACTAAAGTCTCTCCATTTGGCCTGTAATTTCTGGCTAAGAGATGGAAGCATCAAAATGTTTGCTTCCATTTCCCCCAATTTGAAGGTGCTTGGTTTGACGGGTTGCTATAAATGATCTAGAGAATGTATTTGTCAAGTTTTAAGGAGATGTTGTAAGATTAGAGATTTGAACTTATATTGCTCACGAGTAAATTTGCATGAAATGAACTTTGAAGTTCCTAAATTGAAGGTGTTGAGATTATCATGTACAAGAGTTGACGATAAAATACTTTATGTGATCTCAAAGAGTTGTTCTGGACTTTTGCAACCGGTACTAAGATGTTGTGGTAATGTTACAAAGGAGGGAATTATGCATGTGGTAAAGAACTGCGCGCAACTTAGAAAGATCAATTTGGCGTATTGTCCTAAATTTCTTCCTAATATTGTCGACGAGGTGGTATTTTCAAGGCCATCATTGAGAAATATAACCTTTATTATAGGAAACTCTTCTTGCATTATGGATTCCTTCTTTGCTAGAACTCTTTGAGGATAGTTTTATTTTTACCAATTTTTTCCCCCGTGAAGATGCCTTTATTATCATTTCCGTTAGGGTAATGCTACATTTGGACTTAACAGATCTTTTAATAGGTTGCAGCCATGGTCCTACTTTGCGATCCTTGTATCAATCATGTATTTGAGTTAAGCTTTTTTTAATGTTGTTGGATTGTGCCATTACTTTGTATGTTAGCTAAAGTTTACATGATCGTCTTAGAGAATAATAGTCATGCCCTCTCTATCTATGTTGATTACATAAATATTAATAAATGGTTTATTTAGTTTTCTATTAAAAATTTATTCACTTGAGAAATTAAGGTATAAAGGATGATTAAATTAACTTCTATTCATGATTAATGAATTATTATAACATTATAATTAGTCATGAGAGGAGAAAGATTTATGAATTAATTCTATATACACATCGGAAAGAAAGGGTGGTTGGATTGAAACTACAAATTTTGTCATAAAGCATCTATTTTGTTTTGTTTTTAAGTGAAACTACAAATTTTGAATGATTTAGAAAGATAATTAGGATTTTGTCCCTCCTTTTTTCAGATATGAGAGTTAAATCCTTTATTTCTCGTTACATGTTAAATCAGAGATCCTCCATATTTAAACTTATGAGCTTCCTTCTTGCCAAACCCACTATTGTCTAATGTCATTTTGGTCGAGTTCGCCTGTTTTTGGCATCACTTTGTTGAACTTTTTCACACGCTCTGGTTTTTATGTATGATAATTTTCCTCATTTTTCCTTTCGGCTCTTTTGATCTACATCCTCTGTTATTTGCTTACAAGTGTTTTTTAATTGTTGTTCCTTCTTAGGTTATTGTGATGCTACTCCTACTACACGTGGTAACTGCTAATTCAAATCAAACTTTTTCTCTCTCTTCTTCATTTCAATCCATGCATTCGTTTTGGTTGATTCTTTATACTGTTTTGTTTTATAGCTAGACTAGGTGCCAGATTTGTGCATAAGGCTAAACCTAAACAACCGCATCGAAAGAATGTATCTGCATCAAAAGATGAGAATAATGTGCATGTTGCTTCATCAACCACTCACAAAGAATCTGAAGGAGTTTCTCAGAATGAATCTCATAATATAGTTGCTATAACTTCCTCAATTGAAGAACATATCAAGTCTGATCTTCATCCTGATATCCATCTCAATAATGGTGAGTTATGGTTAAAGCCTTTTTTCTTCATATAGAACTTTTACTAGTCTTATAAGCTCTGGCACTGTTTGGAAGTGGTTATAATATAAGTTATTATGTATAGGCTATTTCTATAAAGAAACATAAAACAAAGTCAAGTTGAACTTATATAAATCTATAAACTATTATCATATGCTATATACCATAGAGCTTTGGGAAATAAGCTGAAAAGAGCTTGTAGACATGTCATAAGTTGTTTCATTAAGTTCTCCCAAACAATCTCACAAGCTTTATGTTAATAGATAAGTTTAAATAAGCCAATTGTAACAGACTCTGATTCATTTCATATCTATCATGAGATATAGTAACAACATAACCAGTTCACCTTGCTAATGTTGTAGAAAATAAATTGAATAATGTGGTTGCCCAGTCTACTATCTCCTCAACCGCAGTTAGGATGGAAGAACTGCCCAAACACGGGGAAGGTTCAATTCTCGGTATGGACAAAAGTTTGCAAGTTATTGATAATTCAGTGGAAGTTAGCTTAAACACAGGCTTCAAAAGTGCTTCAGGCGACAGTAACACTGCAATACCTGAGAGTAACATTCATTCAAATTTTGAGTTTGGAAAGGCGGGAGAGGTGTAATTTTGAATTTTATGGATCTTTTTCATGTAGCCTTACTGTTTCAGATGGCTGTAGTCAACTTATGGAGGATATTGTTTCCAGGTATTGTCTGTTGAAATTGAGTTGGGCCCTGCATTGGCTACATATTTGTTATTCTTGTACAATTTCCACCGAGATGATTTCTATTACCATGATCTAGGAGAAGGTTTACGTGGACTCAGAGGCCCGCATTCCAGCTTTAGAGCCACACAGAGTGAACTGTCTCTGAATATAGGTTTGTTCTTGATGCCTTTGTTGCCTATCTTATCATCTTATTAATACTAATTTGTTATGATTCCTCACTTCTTTCTATTTGTTTAGATGTGTCCTCAATTGCTGTTGTTGATCCCGGGCGAGTGGCTGACTTCTTTATTGCAAATCAAAAAGTGAAAGATTATGATAAACTTGACTGGGTTAAGGTAACCAAATGTTCTGAAGACTTGTTTTGTTATGTCTAAATGTCCTTATATGCCAAGACCCTGTCCTTTATATATTTAATTGTGTAGGCCAAAAAGACTCTAAAAAATTTGAGGATCATAACCAGTACATCCAACCAAGAGTACAAGATTACTAGTCTGAGTGAATTGCCATGCAATTTACATAAGTAGTTTTTTCTATCTCATTATTATATATTGATTTCCTTCATTATTAACTTTCTTAATGTCTGAGTATTATGTTACATGAAGTTTGGTGGCTGTCTTGTTAATGAAGATTCATGTATTGTAGGTTTACTCTGAAGAAGAAAGGGTGTGAGTCTGGACAAGATGATCCAGAGGAGATCACCGTTTATGATTATTTCGTAAATCGACGAAATATTGCTCTTGCCTTCTCGGCTGCTCTTCCATGTATTAATGTCGGGAAGCCCAACCGATTCGTTTATATACCAATTGAGGTAGATTAACCTCTTTATATTAGTTTAGTACTAACCTTTTAATCAAAGCACTCAGTTGTGGTAATTCCCATGTAACTTACTAACTAAGAGAGAGTGAGGGTTGTGTCCAACGTAAGTCTAACTACTATACATTGAGTAATTGATTGTCGTAGAAATGTCACTTTACTGTATATTATTTTGCCTATTTACAGGCACTGAAGAACATGAACTACAACTCTGAGCCCATGATACAGAAATGTGGTATTTCAATAACTTCTGGGTTCACACAATTTGATAGGAGGGTTACTGGTTAGACCTGATGCTGCACCTCTTTTTTTGGAGTTGGTTCATCTCTTTGGCAGGTCACTGCAGGATTCCATGTTGATGCAAGCTAAGTGGTTCCTTGGAGGCCAAGATGTCCTCTTTGGTCGGAAGACCATTAAACAAAGGCTACATAACATAGCTAAGAGTAAAAGACTTTCTGCTAAGGCCCAGTATTCGGAGTCGTGGGGTTGGTGTAGTCTGTATATCGATCTGGTGGCTGTCAAGGGGGAAAAGCGGAAGTTTAATGCCACATCACTTGAAGAAGGAGAAGTTGTTGATGAGGGGGTAGATCTGAAAAAAGAGCCTAAAAGGGCTCTCTCAAGTGTTTGACTCTGAAAGCTCAAGAATAAACCAGCAACATCTGACTGAGAAGGCTCTTATTGAGTTGTTTCTTCCTTGCCTATACCAAAGCTCTAATGAATCCCGCAATTCCTTTGCGAATGAATTGATGAACCAATTTGCTAATATTAAGCTACAGATAAATGCTGTTATATGTGGAAGTAAGCCAGTGGGAAGTACTTCTCATGGAGTTGAAGGACAAACAACTAAAGCAAATTCCAGGAAAAGTATAAGAGGTGGCAGTAGCCTTGGATTAGCTAGGCGACCAGCAGTTGCAATAGATTCTTCTCCACCATCTCCTGCAGCCCTACGTGTTTCTTTGTCACTTCGGTTGCAATTACTCCTGAGATTTCTTCCTATTCTTTGCATTGAAAGGTATGTAAAAGACTTTATATTAGTGTATGTAAATATTTTCCTCCTAGAAGAATTGTTGGAAATCAATTAAATCATAAATGAACTATGGTTATTTGTGCTATGAATATGGAGGCAGCTTATCATTTTTGCGTGTTCAATTTTGCAGGGAAGCATCTGTGTCGAACATGAAACATTTTCTGGCCCCTGTGATTCTTCGTCTCCTAGGCAGCCAGGTTGTGCATGAGGATGCATATATTTCAATGAATGCCATGCATTCTAAGAAGGATTCAGAGTCATTATAGAAGCATCGAATGTAAAAAATGCTTCAATACTGTTAGCTAGCACTGCGTAATATTTATTTTTTTTAATTGAGTATTTCCACCTACATGATTGGGATTTCATTGGATTTAAATAAATTCAAGAGTTCTTGTGCCTCCAATAGATGTATTCTGAATCCTAAACTGCGTGCAGATTTTTTTAAAAAAAAATATTTGCAACTTGGGGCGGTTCAAACCGCCACAATATACCATAGTTTTTTTTAAAAAAATATTTGCAACTTGCGGTGGTTCAAACCGCCACAATATAGAGATTACGACAGTTAGCTACCTGTCGTGAAAATAACGACGGTTTGTACGACAGTTTTCTCAACCGTCGCAATACGACCTCGCAGCGCACGTTTCTGCGACAGGATTGAAATCGTCGTAACTTACAAATTGCAAAGGTTATAACTGTCGTAATCTGCCAAAATAAACCGTCGTAATTTATCAATTTTCGAGTTTGACACGAGCTTTTTTTTAAGCTCAAACTCGACTTTTTATAAGTTCATGAGCAACTCGGTTCGACTCGTTAGGTTCATCTCGTTAGGCTCAGCTCGCTTACTTCACGGACTTAAAAGCTATTTTTTAAAGTCTACTTTTTACATATTTGACATTTTAAATTAATACTATTTTAAAAGAAAAATATTGAAATAAAATAAAAGTTATTAGATTGAAATTTAAATTTATCTCCAAAATCCACTAATTCAAAAATTAATTAATTAATATGATGCTAATTTTATTTGAGTAATTATATTTAGAAATATTTTTCTCACTTGAGAATATAAATTGTATATTAAAACCGTTAGATTAAAATAAAATATAAGGTTAAAATTTATATTAAATCTTTAAACATACTCTTAAAGATGATATAATCATTCTCGTATATAATCGAGTTGGCTCATGAACCTAACGAGTCGAACTATGTATAGTTCAAGTTCAACTCATTTAGTTAACGAACTTAATTTTTCACTCATATTCAGCTCATTAGGTTCATGAACCAAGTTCAACGAACTAATTGTCGAACCGAGTTTCGAACTGTTTTCAAGTTAGTTTGATTCATTGTCAGCCCTAATTATATACAATGTGAATTTGCGGTCTGTCGCAACTGCGAAAAAAAAGGTGTCGGCAAAGACAGAAGATTCGCCACCTATCGTTATTTATCCCAAAGGAGGGAAAGGAAACGATCAGGAAAAACCTAACGAAAAGGGATAAGATCGGTCATCGCAACGAAATCTCGGGTTCGGGAGTCAGTTACGCAAGGGGAAAGTATTAGCACCCCTCACGTCCATCGTACTCGACGGGATCCACACTTGTTTGCTTATCTAAAGGGTTGTTTATCTATCTAACTAAAGGTCTGGATTAAAGAAAAAGAAAAAGGACTCGACAGAGCATCGCTACTCTAGGCCTACGTATTCCCTCGTGCAATGGGAAAGTCAGAGTCAACGTAGTTCGAATAGCTACGGGTGAAAGGGGAAAGGTTGCTTGCCAAGATATCGCATCTTGTGACTATTGCACCCCAAAATTTGACCAACCTTTTCTTAACCTAGTTTATGTTTCATTTCATTTTCTTCTAGCATTTGCATTGCATAGCATTGTTCATTTAGTAGGGGATCAGGAGGTTGTGCATGGCAAGAGAAGGTCACCAAGAGTGTTGAGCCTAAGCAAGGGGTTTTACTCAAGCATGAATGGTCATCAAGTCACCAAGAAGTGGTCAAAGTTTTGTGAAAGAGTTGATGGGTGTATGTGGATTAGCTCCTAACTTGGGGACCAGTTGAAGAACATTAGAGGTTTGTGAATTCATGATTATGGATATGGGATGTTGAGGAAGCTCACTGAAGGCTTTGAGAGCCATGTTGGAGTTTATTCAAGTTGTTGTATCTTGTGGAAGAAGCCACAGTCAAGGGTGTTGCCGTTAGGATTTTCATCTGGTCAACCCTCAGTCAACTGTGAAATTGAAGGAGATTAAGACTCAATTCCAAGTCTTTGTGATCATGGAATGTTGTGTTGAGATGTCTAATATATCATTTCAAGATCAAATCAAGAAGAATCAAGAGTGTGAGAAGTTACTAAATTAGGATTCTCAGTGTAAAATCCCATATTTAGTGTCCAACTTCAAGACCACATATCTCAAGATACAAGTCTCATCTCATCTTGACCCCAACATGAAACTTGTGGAGCATGTTTCTAGATTTCTTTTTAGTACTATAAGTCTTTCATATGATTTCTAGAACTCAAGTTATAATGCTGACAAGTTACAGGTCATCAGATGAATGTGATTTTGGTCAACAAAAGTCAACCAACTTCCAAGACATTTTTGACCTAGAAGGATGTTTCTCCTCACTATGACCCAAACATGAACGTTGTTCCTCATGATCTTAGATTTCCAAATAGTACTAGAAGTCCTTCATTTGATTTGTAGAACTCAAGTTATGAGGCTTAAAAGACAAGGGTATTTTGGGAAAGTAAGATTACAGGTCATTTTCATTATAGGTCCATTTCACCACTTTGCACACTTCAAATGCAACTTTTCCCAACATGAAACTCACTCCAAATGGTACCAATTTCATCATCAAACCATCTTATGTCATGGTTGAGGCTTGGATTGAAGAATTGGTGTGAGACTTTTTCATGAAGAAAGCTTAAAAATCATAAAATGCAATTAATTGATTTTGGACCAAAACAAGGCATGTTTATACATTTTTTGAGTCACAAAGATGTAATAAACCAGATGCAAGTATTGGATTTTAGTTTTGGCCATTTCAAGTGGAAAATTGACAATTCAAACTCCACCATTTGATCAAACCAAGGGCTGAATATCATCCACATGATCAAAGTGAATTACCAGCAAGCTAAATGAGTGAATTTCCAAGCCTAACAGCTCTATTTTCGTGTGCATTTTGGAGGCTCCATGTGCAATTTTTTGGATTTCCAATTGGACTTAAACCAACCTTGATTGGGCTTTTTATGCATCCAAATCCATCATATATAACTTCAGAATGCTTCACAAACCTTCAGAGGCGAAATTGGTGAAGAATTGCTCAAGAACTCCATTGATAAAGCTCAAGAAAAAGTGGAATACGAATTTTCAGATTCACTCAATTTCAAACCAAATCAAGCACATCTGAAGCTTCAGGGAGGATTGTGGAGTGATTCTGGTTTATTTCCAGTAAGTTTCATCAAAGTTTGAAGGCTCAATGGAAGTTCTCCACTAGGTAAACTTCAATTCAACTTTTCTCTCTGTTTGTAATCTAATTGAATGTCATTTTTGCATGATAATGACCTAGGAGCTGTGTAGATTAATTCTAACTAAAATTGACTGGCATTGGTGATGATTTGTGATCTGAGCTCCAAATTGTTTGTCTTCAATTTGGCTTGTACATGGACTGAAAATTAAAATGAACCTTGGATTTGAGTTGTATGAAGCATGAGGAATCGATTGGTGTAAGAAATTATGTGTTTCATGAACTTTTTTGAGTTGCCACTGTTCATCGTGGCCGGAGAAGATGACCGGAGGGAATCCGGCCACCGTCTGGTTTTCCTCCCTCTCTTTTCTTATTTGAATGCTGACTGATGGGTGGAACATTATAATCCCTTGGATCTGGCTGGAATATTTGACTCATATACAATCCAACAGATGTGATTCAATCTCATTTCATGTTTATTTGATGAAGCCTGCGTGTCATGCTCTAAACCTTAGATCCACTGAATTAAGACTGATCGTGAGGCCATGATTTAATTTGGTTTATTGACTGGAAATAAATGAAACGTTGTGTTTGAGCAGCTTGCGCCTCAACTGTTTTATTATGTGACTGGACTTGAGACTGAGTGGTTGGGATTCATTTTAATTTTGTGTTTAGATGCTGAGACGCGTGTGGCATTGTTTTAACCCTTGGATTGATTGACTGGTCTTGGATCGTGTGGCTGGGATTATTTCTCATTGTTTGACTGAGTTTTTAGTGGACTGGGCCCTCAATTGCTTTTGGCACACCCCTCAAGCCAGGCCCAGCTGTTTACACGTTATTTTATTGCTATTCACACCTGGCTTTTGTTTATTTTCTTTTTATTTTCTTTTATTTTTGTTTTGTGACTGTTTGAAATTAATTCATTCAAAAATACTTCTCCAATTAATAAAATTCATCAAAAATATTTTTCGGACAGTTTGGAATGTCTTTTATTTTTTAGAATTTTTATTTTATTTTTTTAGATTATTTTTCATTTAAAAAAAGAATTATTAATTGGAGGTGTATTGTTTGGATTAATTTTTGACATTATTTGGTTTTTTATTTGTTTCTCCCTTTTCCTTTTGATCCAATGACTGAAAATTAATCCTCATATTCATGGTGAGTTGATTGATTTTTGAGGACCATTTTGCCCCTATTTGGTTGACTTTTGGTTTGACTTTGATTGTATTTCATTTGACCCTCGACAATCCTCATTCACAATGGGACACCCTTGTGAATCAATTTTTTTGGTGGTGTTGTGAATTGATTTTGATTGTAATCTCTTGGCCTCTGTTTGCTAACATGTTTATGGACTTTGTGCAATTTATTTGGTTATTTTTGAATCATTTTCCTAATTTTGAGGTAACTTGCAAGTCAAGTTACCCCAAAGGAAGGTTCATACATACACCTTGACCTAGTTTGCTTTGGAGATGACATTTATGGATCCTTTGAGCCTTTAATCCCTTTTGATTCATGTTGCTAACATGTTAAGGTTGCTGGTTGCTCAATTTTAGGTCATGATATTGTGTTTTGCTTGTTCATTTGTGTGTTTCTTTTGATGTTTCCATTTAGGGTTTCCATATGTGACACGCTTGCATCCTCTTGTGTACAAGCTTGTTTTCTCTTATGATGTGATTGCTTTTGCTTTTGAACTCTCTTCTCTCATCCCCTCTTCTGTCCCATGACCTTGGAGTCTCATTTAAGGTGTCTTAGTCCCTCCTGAGGAGGTACTTGAAGCATACCTAAAATGATGAATCCTTGGGG